CTACTAAAAATACAAAAATTAGCTGGGCATGGTGGCGCGTGCCTGTAATCCAAGCTACTCAGGAGGCTGAGGCAGGAGAATTGCCTGAACCCAGGAGGCGGAGGTTGTGGTGAGCCGAGATCGCGCCATTGCACTCCAGCCTGGGTAACAAGAGCGAAACTCCGTCTCAAAAAAAAAAAAAAAAAAAAAAAAGAAAGCCATTGTTAAGAGTGTAGAGTAGCCTGGGCATGCTGGGTGCCATGGCTCATGCCTGTATTCCCAGCACTTTGGGAGGCTAAGGCAAAAGGGGATCACTTGAGGCCAGGAGTTTGAGAACAACCTGGGTAACATAGTGAGACCCTGCCTCTATTTAAAAAAAAAAAAAAAAGTTGGGCAGACATAGTGGCACAAGCCTGTAGTCCTAGCGATGCAAGAGGCTTGCTTGAGCTGGAGTTGGAGGTCACAGTGAGTATGATTGTGTCACTGTACTCCAGCCTGGGTGATAGAGCGAGACCCTGTCTCTAAAAACATAATTTAAGAGTGTTGGTGTAAATCTGTTTATACTTTTCATGCACATTCAAATAAGTGGGAAGGTGGGAGGGTAAGATGCCTGGAGCTGCCACCTCAGCCTCGGGCTTGGCACCCTAGGACTCAGCAGGCCCAACTCACCGCCTCCCCTGCTCACTGGTGCTGTGCTCAGCTGCCTCTTGAGATTTTTCCGCTCCCGTTTTCCTTAAGCTATTGTCAATTCCTAATCTGAGTCTATAATGCATACTTGTCTATATATTTGCATGTTTGTGTGAATGTGTCTGTGTACATTTTATATTAATAGGTTTTATGTTAACAGGTAATTTTTTATTTTTTGAGACACAGTCTTTCTCTGTTGCCCAGGCTAGAGTGCAGTGGCAAGATCCCGGCTCACTGCAACCTTCGCCTCCCAGGTTCAAGCCTATTCTCCTGCCTCAGCCTCACTAGTAACTGGGATTATAGGTGCATGCCACCACACCCAGCTGATTTTTGTATTTTTAGTAGAGACGGGGTTTCACCTTCTTGGCCAGGCTGGTCTCAAACTCCTGACCTCAGGTGATCCACCCATCTCAGCCTCCCAAAGTGCTGGGATTACAGGCGTGAGCTACCTTGTCAGGCCCTAAATTTTATGTTAATAGGTTCCCTCTATACCTCCAGTACTGGGACTTGGAATTTTTCACTCATGAATTTCATGGACTTTTAAAAATATTAGTAATATTGATCTAAATTATTCTTTAAAATATTCTGTGGTATTTCCTTATGTAGCTATATCATGATTTATTTAACTTTTTATCATTGATGGATATTTAAATAGTTTTCCTTTTTTTTTTTTACTATTATCAGCAAGACGACAATAAATATCTTTTGAAATACATATTTGCATAATAATGCATTTACTTTTTAGGGATAGATTGTCCTTCTTGTTAAGGTTAGAGACAGGGTCTCACTCTGTCACCCAGACGGGAGTGCAGTGATGCAGTACGAGCTCACTGAAACCTCAAGCTCCTGGGCTCAAGAGATCCTCCGTGTCAGCCTCCTCAGCCTCCCTAGTATGTGGACTCCACATGCATGCCACCATGCCTGGCTAATTAAAAAAAAAGAAATTTTTTTTGTAGAGATGAAGGCTTTTTTTTTTTTTTTTGAGATGGAATTTATCTCTGTCACCCAGCCTGGAGTGCAGTGCAGCTCACTGCAACCTCCGCCTCCTGGGTTCAAGCAATTCTCCTGCCTCAGTCTCCTGAGTAGCTGGGATTACAGATGCCTGCTACCATAGCCAGCTAATTTTTGTATTTTTAGTAGAAATGAGGTTTCACTGTGTTCGCCGGGCTAGTCTCGAACTCCTGACCTCATGATCTGCCCGCCTCGGCCTCCCAAAGTGCTGGGATTACAAGTGTGAGCCACCTCACCCGGCCCAAGATGGAGTGTTGATATGTTTCCCAGGCTGATCTTGAACTCTTAGCCTCAAGTGATTCTCCCACCTTGGCCTTCCAAAGTGCTAGAATTACAAGTGTGAGCCTGGCACCTTGGGATAGATTTTTAGGTGCAAAATTATGCATCTGGATGTGACCACATTTTCTTCTAGAGAAGACTGACTAGTAGAACTTTCTTCAGTGATGGGAATGTTCTGTGTCTGCCTTGTCTAATACTGTAGCCACTAGCCACAGGTGACTACTGAGCACTTGGAACGGGGCTAAGTGCAACTAAGGAATGCCCCCACATCTGTTCATATCCGCTTTATTTGTTTAGCTTCCATAATGATTTGCTTCCCAAAAAGTTCTGTGGCTAAAAAGTATGAAAAGTTCTAAGTTAAGACCTTTCCAAATGCCTTTCCAGCTAAATGGGGCCGGTCTAATTAGGCAGAGGTCAGACATCGTGGGATGTGCAAGTACAGGAGGTCAGTAGAATATCTGTGATTTTTTTTTTTTAGACGGAATCTCACTCTGTCAACCTGGCTGGAGTGCAGTGCCACAATCTCAGCTCACTGCAACCTCTGCCTCCTCCTCCAACCATTCTCCTGCCTCAGCTTCCCGAGTTGCTGAGATTACAGGTGCCCGCCATCATGCCTGGCTAGTTTAATTTTTGGGTTTTTTGTTTGTTTTTGTTTTTGTTTTTGGGATTCAGTCTCTCTCTATTGCCCAGGCTGGAGTGCAATGGTGCAATCTTGGCTCACTGCAACCTCCGCCTCCTGGGTTCAAGCGATTCTCCTGCTTCAGCCTCTTGAGTAGCTGGGACTACAGGTGAGTGCCACCATGCCCAGCTTATTTTTGTATTTTTAGTAGAGACGGGGTTTCACCGTATTGGCCAGGATGGTCTCGATATCTTGACCTCATGATCTGCCTGTCTCGGCCTCCCAAAGTGCTGGGATTATAGATGTGAGCCACTGTGCCTGGCCTAATTTTTGTATTTTTAGTAGAGAAGAGGTTTTACCAAGTTGGCCAGGCTGGTTTCAAACTCCTGACTGTAGCTGATCTGCCTGCCTTGGCCTCCCAAAGTGCTGGGATTACAGGCATGAGCCACTGCGTCTGGCCAGTATCTGTGAATCTTGATATGAGAGCAAGAACATTTAAAACCCATACATTTACAAATTGATGTTTGTTTGTGTTAAGGCATTGGTGAAGGTTGACCAGAAGTTACCCTGTGGACTGTCAGCATCTTGAGTATCCTCTTTCTCTCTTTCAGGGTAAAAGCCCCAAAGCTGTCATCAGCATTAAGGACTTGAATGCCACCTTCCAGACAGAGAAGATAGGGCACCCACACGGGCTGCAGATCACCTACAGGGGAGATAGCCACGTCAGGAACCTGTTTGTGTATCATGAAAGTGGGAAGGTGAGATGCCTGGAGTTGCCACCCCCGCCTCCAACTTGCACCCCAGGACTCAGTAGGTGCAGCGTGCCACCTCCCCTGCTCACCAGTGCTGTGCCCAGCTGCCTCTTGAGACTTTTTTGCTGCCATTTGCCTTAATCTATCAACACTTCTTGATCTGAGACAAAAATATGAGGAGGGAAGGGTGAGATCAGGGACAGGAACCTGGCAAGTACCATGGCTAGCCACCAATGCACAGTCACCAGTGGAAGTCCAGTTACAGAAGTGACTATGCCCAGGGATGCAAAGCCAGGTAGGGCCAGAGATTCTGAAACTGGGGGAGGAACTGATAGACAGTTAGGCGGCAGTGCACCCCAGGACCTGCTTCTTAACATGCGGTCCTGGCCCAACAGCCCTTGCATCAGCCAGGAGCTTGTTAAAAATAGTCTCAAGACTGAGCATGGTAGCTCTTGCCTGTAATCCCAGTACTTTGGGAGTCCAAGGCAGAAGGATCACTTGAACCCAGGAGTTTGAGACCAGCCTGGTAACATAATGAGACCCCATCTTTATCCCAAAATATCCCCAAAATTAGCTAGGCATGGTGGCATGCACCTGTAGTCCCAACTACTTGGGAGGCTGAGGTGGGAGGATCGCTTGAGCCTGGGAGGTCAAGGCTGCAGTGAGCCATGATCATGGCACTGCACTGCAGCCTGGATGACAGCGCAGGACCCTGTCTCAAAATAAACAAACAAACAAAAAGAACAGAAAGAAAGAAAAATAGAATCTGAGGCCCACCCTGGACTTACTGAGTTAGAAACTGCATCAAAAAAAAAAAAAAAAAAAAAAAAGAGACTGGGTATGGTGGTTCATGCCTGTAATCCCAGCACTATGGGAGGCTGAGGAAGGCAGATCAGGAGGTCAGGAGTTCAAGACCAGCCTGGCCAACATGGTGAAACCCTGTCTTTACTAAAAATACAAAAATTAGCCAGGCATGGTTGCACGTACCTGTCGTCCTAGCTACTTGGGAGGCTGAGGCAGGAGAATCGCTTGAACCTGAGAGTTGGAGGTTGTAGTGAGCCTGTACTCCAGCTTGGGCAACAGAGTGACACTTAATCCCAAAAAAAAGAAAAAGAAAGAAAAAAAAAAAAAGAAACTGCATTTTAACAGGATCCCAGGTGTGCACATTAAAGTTTGAGAGGCATTTTTTTTTTTTTTTTTTTTTTTACTTTCGAGACGTAATCTCACTCTGTTGCCTAGGCTGCAGTGCAGTGACCTGATCTCGGCTCATTGCAACCTCCTCCTCCAGGGTTCAAGCGATCCTCCTGCCTCAGCCTCCTGAATGGCTGAGATCACACCCAGCTAATTTTTAAAATATTTTTAGTAGATATGGGGTTTCACCATGTTGGCCAGGCTGGTCTTGAATTCCTGACCTCAAGTGATCCACTCACCTCAGCCTCCCAAAGTGCTGGGATTATAGGTGCGAGCCACTTCTCCCAGGTGAGAAGCACTATTTAATAGTCGAAGAAATCAGCCCAGTCAGAGACCAGCAGGCCAATATGAGAGAATAAGCTGGGTCATCTTCTGAGCAGAGTTACCTGACTGGACAGGGGACAGAGACGCTGAGTGGGGGTGGATGAAGGTGGGTGCTGACATTTTGTGAGCATCTATTAACTCCCTTGGGCACTGCTTTTGGTGATTGCTGTCCATCATTTCTTAATCCTCAAAATAAGCCCCACATTACTGAGGCATGGACATGTTAGTAACTTGCTCAGGATCACAGCTAATGGTTCCTGAGCCCTGCACCCACTTTACCACCCCATGTGCCTCTGTACTGTAGGGAGGACCCTTGGAAGCAGGAGCCAGGAACCAGATGCAGAAACTAGACCTTCCCAAGGGGCCCTAGCACCACGACCCTAGCCCCCACTCCATGCCAATCACTGCCACAAGGACTTCTGTTGAGGCACTCAAGGTCTCTGGTACTTAGGATACACAGCTCCCTCCTATCTGCCCAGTATGGTGCATCTGACAACCTGGGTCTGGCCATTCTTTTTTGCTTGATACCCCAGCCTCTCTGTTAGATAAGCATAAGTGAGGGCTGCAAATTCCTGCCTGCAGGAATCAGGGGGTGATTTTTTTTTCCTTTTTTAGTTTTAATTTTTTTTTAATATAGAGACAAGGTCTCGATATATTGCCCAAGCTGGAGTGCAGTGGCTATTCACAGGCACCATCCCACTACTGATCAACACGGGAGTTTTGACCTGCTCTGTTTCTGGCCTGGGCTGGCTCACCCCTCCTTAGGCAACCTGGCGGTCCCCCATTCCTGGGAGGTCACCGCATTGATGCCGAACTTAGTGCAGACACCTGATCGGCATAGCACAGTACAGCCCAGAACTCCTGGGCTCAAACAATCCTCTTACCTCAGCCTCCCGAGTAGCTGGGACTACAGGCACAAGCCACAGTGCCCAGCCAAGGGGTAATGTAAAAGCTAAGTGGGGCCAGACTACTCAAGAGGCTGAGGCAGGAGAATCGTTTGAAGCCAGGAGTTGGAGGTTGCAGTGAGCCAAGATCACACCACTGCATTCCAGCCTGGGCGACAGAGCGAGGCTCCATCTCAAAAAAAAATTAAATAAAATAAAAAAGCTAAGTGGGGGCCGGGCATGGTGGCTCAAGCCTGTAATCCCAGCACTTTGGGAGGCCGAGGCGGGTGGATCACGAGGTCAAGAGATCGAGACCATCCTGGTCAACACGGTGAAACCCTGTCTCTACTAAAACTACAAAAAATCAGCTGGGCATGGTGGCACATGCCTGTAATCCCAGCTACTCAGGAGGCTGAGGCAGGAGAATTGCCTGAACCCAGGAGGCGGAGGTTGCGGTGAGCCGAGATCGCGCCATTGCACTCCAGCCTGGGTAACAAGAGCGAAACTCCGTCCCAAAAAAAAAACAAAAAAACAGCTAAGTGGACAGGTTTAAGGGGTGGAGAGGGAGCTGTGGCAAACAGGGAAACCTGCATGGAGGAGTAAAGCAAACAAAACTTTGGGAGCCAAACAAAACTGTATGCAGGTTGGATTTGGCACCAGGGTCACCAGATGGTGACTGGAGAGACCTTCCAAGGTGAAGGCCTAGGCTTGTCTTTTCTCCTCATTCCCTTAGTGCCTGAGACCTGAGAAGGTTCCTTTTGTTTTTTAGATGGAGTCTTGCTCTGTTGCCCAGGCTGGAGTGCAGTGGAACAATCTCAGCTCAAATTTCTGCCTCCCGGGCTCAAGCAATTCTCCAGCCTCAGCCTCCCAAGTAGCTGGGATTACAGGCATGTGCCACCATGCCCGGCTAATTTTGTATTTTTAGTAGTGATGGGGTTTTCACCATGTTGGTCAGGCTGGTCTCAAACTCCTAACCTCAGGTGATCCACCTGCCTCGGCCTCCCAGAGTGCTAGGGTTATAGGCATGGGCCACTGCGCTTGGCCAGAGAGTTATTGATGAACCCCAGGACAATAAAGCACAGAGCCCTGGAATACTAGGCCTGTGTGCTTCGCCTATGAGAGAGAAAAGGGAGCCGGGCGCGGTGGCTCACGCCTGTAATCCCAGCACTTTGGGAGGCCGAGGCGGGTGGATCACGAGGTCAAGAGATCGAGACCATCCTGGTCAACACGGTGAAACCCCGTCTCTACTAAAAATACAAAAAATCAGCTGGGCATGGTGGCACATGCCTGTAATCCCAGCTACTCAGGAGGCTGAGGCAGGAGAATTGCCTGAACCCAGGAGGCGGAGGTTGCGGTGAGCCGAGATCGCGCCATTGCACTCCAGCCTGGGTAACAAGAGCGAAACTCCGTCTCAAAAAAAAAACAAAAAAACAGCTAATTAAAGAGAGAGAAAAGGGAATGGTTAAATTCATTTGAAACCACATTCAGATGATTTCTCAATCACCATATTATATCAAAGTCCCAAACTACGACTATCTGAACCAGTCTTTTAGCCTCCCAATTTCAAATTCCTGGGAGAAGGAATCTGATAAGCGCAGTCCAGCCTCTGTATTGGTCCAGGCCTGGTCCAGTTGCTGTGGTTAAGCAGGGGTGGGATCACAGCAGTAAGTGGGGCTGCAACTGGAGGTGGGTGAGGATAGGTAGGGTAGTTCTCATAGGAGCAGGGCTTGGGCTGAGCAAGCACCGACAATCTATCTATTACAACATCAGAACTAACCTGCAGGATAAGTAGAATACTTTAGGTAAAAGGTATGTGTGAGATGGAGTGGATTAAGCTGAATGTCCCAAGAGGAAGGAATAGCAGGTGTTGGGAGAATTGCAAATAGTTTTGCGTGGAAGGAGCTCAGACAGCAAAGTCATACTAAAGAACTTAAGACTTTTTTTCTGAGGGTAGTAGACAGGACTCTAAGCCAGACTGATTAGATCTGTTTTTCTATTATCTGATTTTCTGATTAGAAAATCACTCTGGCTGCCGTGAGAGGGCCAATCGGAGGGCAGCCGATCAAGGCCAGCTAGATACGTGGTTGTCTGTGTGGGAGATGAAGGTGGCCTACGCTGCTGAGAGACGCATTCTCCCAGAGTGACAGCAGAAGGGGCTAAGCCAGCTTTGGTCTAAGATGCCATGAGCATCCTCATTAGAGGAGCCTCCCCAGGCATACCTTCTCCCCACCCAAATGCCAATTTTTGACATCTGAGGACTATGATTTCCTAGAGCCTTGCTCCTTCTAGTGTGTTCCACTGACTACCAGCGTCATATCACCTGAGAGTGTGTTAGGAATGCAGAGTCTTGGGCCCCATTTCAAACCTACTGAATCTGCCTCTGCATTTTAACAAGAGCCTCAGGTGATTTTGCACGCATTAGAAGGTGAAAAGCACTGTCTGAGGCCATTGCAGAACTCCTGTGCAGTTCACCCCATCCTTTCCCAGGGCTCTGGGGTTATCCCTGTCAGAGGCTTCCAGTTTGCCCAGGTTAGCCCAGGAGGCTCTGACACAGTCCTCCCTGGATGCCCCTGAGCTGAGCTGTGGGGTGTGCGCAGGTGCTGAATGCATGTGCTCCACACCCGATGACCAGCTAGCTTCCTGCCACCAGACTCAGCCTCCCACCCACCCCATCTCACTGCTGTGTGTGTCCTGTGTACTTCTCTCGGCAGGAGATAGTGGACTGGTTCAATGCTCTCCGTGCAGCCCGTCTGCAGTACCTAAAAATGGCCTTTCCTGAGCTCCCGGAGTCTGAGGTGAGCTAAACGTGGACCCCAACTTCTGAATCTCCTCTCAGCCATCCCCTTCTTTCCATGTCTGTTGACCTCAAAGACACTCAGAAGCCAGACTAGGTTTGTTTGCAGGCAAGACCTGGAGACTGAGGGCTGGGCAGCTCTGAGGGAAACCCAAGGCATTCTCCAGGGGAGCCTGGGGGTTACAGCCTCACATACAACAAGGCAGACTCCCAGAAGCAGGTCAGGTTCTCCCCTTCAGGAGAGTGTCAAGGAGCTCAGCATTTGGCCTTCTCTTTCTCACCCCTTCTCCCTCTAAAATGTACAAATGATCCCTCACATATTGCTCACGGAGTGCTTTGAGCCCATTTGGTACTGTGAAATGACAGCCAGGCAGGGTGACTATTTCCATTTTACTGATGAGATATACAGTCCCAGGAAGGGCAGGTGAATAACCAAAGGTGCTCTTCCCTTTCCAACATCCCCGCTTTGCCCTGTGATGCTCTGGGCTTGGGAAAGCCTGGGATCCTCCTCATTACAGTTGTAACAGGAGCAGGTCTGCCCTCCGTGGTCAACAGTGTGGGGAGCCAAGAACTTCATTTGGATTATTTCCAGACTTCTGGGGCCTCCATCTCCCTATGTCAGGCTGGGCTGGGGAGGCCCACATAGCGTGGGGCAGAGGATGCGGCCTTGAGCCAGGAAGCCTGGGCTCTCAGGGATGCTCTGCTGCTCACTTGCTGTGTGACCCCTGCAGGCCCTGGCACATCTCTGAGCTTCTGTTTCCATATTAGTAAGATGGCAGTTAGTCGAGGTCATCTTCAGGGTCCCTTCCGGCTCTGAGGTTCTATGCTGTGGTCCTTTTCTTTTTTTCTTTTTTTCTTTTTCTTTTTTTTTTTTTTTTTTTGAGATGGAGTCGTGCTCTGTCACCAGGCTGGAGTGCAGCGGCACAATCTCGGCTTACCTCAGCCTTTGCCCCCTAGGTTCAAGCGATTCTCCTGCCTCAGTCTCCCGAGTAGCTGGGACTATAGGTGCGCACCACCACACCTGGCTAATTTTTGTATTTTTTTTAGTAGAGATGGGGTTTCACCATGTTGGCCAGGATAGTCTTGATCTCTTAACCTCGTGATCTGCCCGCCTCGGCCTCCCAAAGTGCTGGGATTACAGGTGTGAGTCACTGTGCCCAGCCTGCTCTGGTCCTTTTCAAGAGCTCCCCTCTAAGAGGACTTTGTAAGTGATGGGGGTAGAAAACCATTTTAATGTTGGGATTTTCTTATCCCCAACCATTAGAGACTCCTTGAAAGCCTAAATGTTTCTTAATTCCAAGGTCTGTAGGGAGCTAGGTGTCTGGAATGGGGTCCCCTCTGGGCCCAAGGATGTGCTGAGATGGCAGCTGTCTGGGAGCAATTCCAGCAAGGCCTGAGTCACAGCCCTTGAGTCAGTCTGCTGAGTTTGCACCCAGAGCTGGTTAATGCTGGCTCCCATGGGTGGGGACTGCGGAGTGCTGACTGCTGACTGTGAGGAGGGAGGACAAAGTGCAGATGCTCAGCCTTATTTAATCTGGGCAAGTTTCCCATCTTTGCTGACCCATGTAAAGGAAATTGCTCTTCCGTCGATGTCCTCAATGTTCTCCTGCCTCTCTCATCCACCGTCGGTACCCGATAGCCACCCCTGTCTTTCCTCCCATTCAATGTCTGTGTGTGGTGTGAGGTTCTGAGCAATCACCAGGCCTGGCTCAAGCTTTAGAGTCCACATGTAGAAAACCCAGGCACTCCAGTGGGGCTGTGGTCCTGTAACAAATGCATGTGGTCTCTGAAGCCCAAGAGCCTGATGCATTACCTAGGGCAAGTCACCTTACCTCTCCGAGCCTCGATGCGCTCATCTGTCACCATGGCCACAATACCTACTTTCTAGGGCTATTGTGAGACTCCAGCGAGCCAAGGCATCTGAAGTGTAGGAAGCAGTGCTCCAGCCATGTGATTTGTCTTTTTCTCCCAATGGTTTCCCTAGGCCTCTACTTGCTCTGCGCTGGCTCAAATTCAGAATATTGAATAGTTAGGGACTCCATCTGTTTTCTCCAAATGGAAGAATTAAAGCCTACTGAATATATTTTAGGAGAAGGGGAGTAGTATAGTTTACATTTTCTTTCTTATATTTAAAACATTTTTTCTATGTTGTAGAGATGGGGTCTCACTTCTGTTGCCCGGGGTGGCCTCAAGCCTCCTGCCTCAGCCTCCCAAAGTGCTGGGATTACAGGTGTGAGCCACCACATCTGACCTATATTTGCATTTTTGGCTCACAACATTCCCCCTTTTAGATTTCCCATGACTGTTCCCAGGACCTCATTTCCCCTGTGCCCCTGCCCTGGGCCCTGGAGCTCTGGAGAAGCTCCTTTGTTCTTAGAAGCCTGGACTGTTGTTTGAAGTTCTAGACTTTCCAGAAGCATAGGAGGCCATCATCAGCCCTTGGAAACTTCTCTAAGTGCAAGCTGCCAGGCTGGAAGGGATGCTGGGGATCACATGATCCAGGTTGCTTATCGCACAGAGGAGACATAAGGCCTTGAGAGACGGAAGGTCTTACAAAGGCAATGCAGCTCTTAGAGGCCAGAACTGGTGCTAGAACCGGGTCTCCCTACTCCTGCTTCAGCACTTCCTCTGTCCGCTCTGGCATCATTTTCTTTGCCTTTTTTTTTTTTTTTTTTTTGAGACAGCATCTCCCTCTGCTGCCCAGGCTGGAGTACAGTGGCACGATCTTGGCTCACTGCAACCTCTGCCTCCCAGGTTCAAGGGATTCTCCTGCCTTAGTCTCCTGAGTAGCTGGGATTACAGGCGCACGCCATCATGCCCAGCTAATTTTTGTATTTTTGGTAAAAGTGGGGTTTTGCCATGTTGGCCAGGCTAGTCTCAAACTCCTGGCCTCAAGTGATCCACCCGCCTTGGCCTCCCAAAGTGCTGGGATTACAGGCATGAGCCACCACACCCAGCCTCTGGTGTCATTTTCTCATTACTCTGTGTCAGAATCCTGACCAATGACCAGGTCTTGCTCAAGGTCCTGCTCAGAGAGCCCTGGCCTGTTTATACTTTAACCCCCTAGTGTACAGTCTAGTGTCATCGGCCCTGGGTGTGAATCTCAGCTCTTCATGCTTCCAGTGATGTGACCTTAGGAAAACCCCCAGCCCCTTCTCTGTGGCCCAGTTTCTTCAGATGTGTAATGAGGTTGGTGATACCCACCTCGCAGGGTGATTGAGAATTGCATCTGGAGCCTGACACAAAGTGGACCCTCAGAACATGTTCCCTGACACCAAGAGGGTCTCCGCAGAGCCTTGCCTAGGTCCGTATTCTGGGGTTGCTAAAGGGGTCCTTGCGCTGAGACCTTGTCGTGCCAGTAAGCTCTGCAAACATCCGGGGTGCTGTCGACTGGCTTTGTTGAAATATTAATATTACATCCATTGCACTTTCCAAATATAATACCGTGAACCATGAGCACACATCCTTCCCCATTTCAAACTTCCCCTTGGTCGGGAGCCAAGCTAGGCAGGGAACCTGGAGCCTTGGGGTGTGAGTTGGGGGTCAGTGTCTGTCTTTCTTCCCCAGCTCGTGCCATTCCTCACCAGGAACTACCTCAAACAAGGCTTCATGGAAAAGACTGGGCCAAAGGTACCTTCTACCATTCCTGGGGAACGTAAATGGTTTAATGTGTATAACAGGTTTAATGTGCTTCTGGGATGATTTTTAAGAGGACAGTGAAAGGTGTTAGGCCAAGCTTGTCCAGCCCACAGCCCATGGGGCACTTGCAGCCCAGGACGGCTTGGAATGAGGCCCAAAACAAATTCATAAACTTTCCTTTTTTTATTTTTTGAGACAGAGTCTCACTCTGTCACCCAGGTGGAGTTCAGTGGCGTGATCTCAGCTCACTGCAACCTCCACCTCCTGGGTTCAAGCAGTTGTCCTCCGTCAGCCTCCCAAGTAGCTAGAATTACAGGCACCCACCATTATGCCCAGCTAATTTTTGTATTTTTGGTAGAGCCGGGGTTTCACCATGTTGGCTAGGCTGGTCTTAAACTCCTGACCTCAAGTGATCCGCCCACCTCGGTGTCCCAAAGTGCTGGGATTACAGGTGAGAGCCACTGAGCTCGAACAAATTCATAAACTTTCTTAAAACATTATGAGATTGTTTATTGATTTTTTTTTCTTCGCACATCAGCTATCATTAGTGTATTTTATGTGTGGCCCAAGACAATTCTTCTTCTGCTGTGGCCCAGGGAAGGCAAAAGATTGGATATGCCCGTTTTAGGCAGCCATTGTGAAAGCAAGCCTTGGGCAGGTGGGAAAAAGTAGTCAAAGGGTTGTTTTCGGTTGTCTTCCTTCACTAACCAAGGTGCAGCCCCTCCCGTGGTTCTCATTGCAGGGCTTTCTCTCCCTGCCCTAAGTCAGATTTTGGCTGAGGCCAGCACTTTCAGCCTTGCCAAGCAGTAGCCACTTCTGATTTTTCCCAGACTTCCTTTTTCTCTAACTTCTTTGTCCACGGCCTGAGAAAGAGGAAAGTGCCTTTTCCAACTCAAGGCAGTACCTAGAGGCAGTGGCGAAGCTGGGAGAGGGTAGGGTGGGGTTGGAAGGGGAACGAGCAGAACCTTCAGAGCCTGAGGGCTCTTGCCCGGGCCCCAGGGAGATGCACCAGGGTGTCTGACTGCAGTGGCTGGGCGGGAGAACCAGTAGGACTGGCCAGCTCCCTTGGCTTGGCCTGGGCTGGCCCCTGACCTCTGTCCTCAGAAGCTGACTTGGTCATCCGTGGTAAGAGGTTCCCTCTTTTGCAGCAGAGAGAACCCTTTAAGAAAAGGTGGTTCGCCCTGGATTCCCATGAGCGGAGGCTGCTCTATTACAAGAACCCACTGGTAAGAGCCACTCCTGCTCCCTCCGCAGGGCTACCTCAAACAGAGCTGGGTAGTGCTTGTCTGGGACTATGTGAAAATTACAGATAAACACATCTCCCAGGGCCCCAGAGCTAGAGAAGCCTCCAGAGGAAAACCTCTACCCCTCGTTTTTGTTTCTCTTGAAGTAATCTCCTGTGGCATGAAGATTCCCTCCCCTTGCTTTCAGGAAGTCCATTATGAGTATCCAAAATGCTGCCCCCCTAAGGCTGGGCGCGGTGGCTCAAGCCTGTAATCCCAGCACTTTGGGAGGCCGAGACGGGTGGATCACGAGGTCAAGAGATTGAGACCATCCTGGTCAACACGGTGAAACCCCGTCTCTACTAAAAATACAAAAAAATTAGCTGGGCATGGTGGCGCGTGCCTGTAATCCCAGCTACTCAGGAGGCTGAGGCAGGAGAATTGCCTGAACCCAGGAGGCGGAGGTTGCGGTGAGCCGAGATCGCGCCATTGCACTCCAGCCTGGGTAACAAGAGCGAAACTCCATCCCAAAAAAAAAAAAAAAAAAAAAAAAAAAAACACAAAATGCTGCCCCTGGTAGTTAAATAAGGTGTATTTCTTCCTCTAGTCTCCAGGGCTCACTTCTAACCAAGAGGCTGTGACGTGTAGTGGTTAGGAGTGCGGTGGACTCTAGAACCCAGCTGTCTGGGCTCTGGTCTCAGCCCTGCCACTTGTAGTAGTGTTGCCCTGGGCTAAGCACTTAGCTCTCTGTGCCTCAGTTTCCTCCTCTGAAAAACAGGTTTCATAAGAATGCCTTCCCCAGAGGTTGCCATGATGGTTATATGATTTACTATATGTAAAGCATTGTAATTCCTTATTTTAATAAGCTCTCCATAAATGTTAGGTATCATTTATTTTTTTAGAGAGTCTCTCTCTGTCACCCAGGCTGGAATGCAGTGGCACCATCACAGCTCATTGCATCCTTGAACTTCTGAGCTCAAGGTATCTTCGTGCCTCAGCTCCTGAGTAGCTTGGAACACAGGCATGCACTAACACACCCAGCTAATTAGAAAAAACATTTTAGGGCTTGGGTGCAGTGGCTCCTGCCTTTACGTAATCCCGGCACTTTTGGAGGCTGAGGCAAGAGGATCGCTTGAGCCCAGAAGTTTGAGACCAGCCTGTGCAATATAGTGAGATCCATCTCTACGAGAAATTTAAAAATTAGCCGGGTGTGGTGGCGCATGCCTGTAGTCCTAGCTACTTGGGAGGCTGAAGTGGGAGGATCAAGCCCAGAGGTTGAGGCTGGGATGAACCATGATTGTGCCACTGCACTTCCAGCCTGGGTGAAGAGTGAGCCCCTATCTCCAAAAACAACTCACAATAATAATAATTAATAAAAGTTTTTTTGTAGAGACAGGGTCTCCCTGTTTTGCCCAGGTTGATCTCATATTCCTGGCCTCAAGTAATCCTCTGCCTTGGCTTTCCAAAGTGCTGGGATTACAGGCATGAACTACCAGGCCCACCCTCAGTATCTTTTCAACAGATGATGTGTATGATTTATTTCAGGATTTTGATCTTTCAAATTCTGGGTCCCACTTAGCAGAAACCCCAGCAGGGACACTCATACCCCTTTCCCAAAATAGAGGTTGGAGGCTGTCAGGACTGCAGGGCCTCTCTGCCCTGGGGGTACCCTCTGATGACCCTGTACCCTCTATTTTCAGGATGCCTTCGAGCAGGGCCAGGTTTTTCTTGGGAACAATGAGCAGGGATATGAAGTCTATGGAGACCTGCCCAAGGGCATCCGAGGGAATCGCTGGAAAGCCGGACTCACCATTGTCACCCCAGAGAGGAGATTTGTCCTCACTTGCCCCAACGAGAAGGAGCAGCAGGAATGGCTGGAAAGTTTGCGGGGTGTCCTGTCCAGCCCCTTGACGCCCCTCAGCCGCCTCAGTAAGAAGCAGGAACTGATGAGTGTTATTTTGGCCAAGGGCAGAGGACAGAAAGGGGCTTCGTCACTTAGGTTCAGCTGTGATGCCACAAAAGATTCCTGATTCCTGCCTATGCTCTTTCCACCGTCTTCTCTTCCTGCAAAAGAAAAGCACAGACACGCACATTACTGCCAAAAATTCTCCTCTGTCCAGCCCTTGTTCCCCTAACAGAGCCGTTCCCCAGGAGCTCTTAGAGGAGTTTGGCCCTGGCAGAACCCCTGGTGCTGTCTGTCCCCCTCGTGGTGTGGGGGCTGAGCAGCTTCTCTCTCCCTCCACCCTCCTCTCTGCTGATCCTTTTTCTCGTGAGAAAACCCTGGCCTGTTATTATTAGCTAAGGTCACACCCGCTGGGCAGCTCCTGGGATTTTTGGATTCCTCCCCACTCCAGAGGGAAGGCTATTTCTAGTGGCTTCTTTTCTCCGAGTCCTCCCTTCTGTCTGCTTCTCTCCTGCTCCTCCTCTTTACCCGTAGGCCTTCCTCAGTGCCGACAGCCCTGTGAAAAAAGAGGAGACATGCTGAGCTCCAGCAGGAAACTGCTGGCCCAGGCGCTGGCTTCTGGGGCTCAAAGGAGAATTTCTGTGTTTGGAAAAGTACAGACTGAGCAGGTGACCCCCGACAGCCCCTTGGGGGAAACCCTTGTACCCTTTGAGTCTGACCGATATAAACACGAACTCTCTTGACTGTCCGACAAAGGCCAAAGCCAGAGAGCCTCAGAAAGGACTTGCAAATTGTGAGTGAGGCACTCCAGCTGGCGCTTCCTTTTCTCTCTGGGCTGCCGCTTATGAGTTTCTTGGTTGTTCTGTCTCTGTGCCTCTGTCCCTCCACTTTTCTCTCCTTTGCTGGTGTGTGCGTCCCCTCTGATGCCCTGGCTCTCACCCTTTCATTGTTTTTTATTCTGACTCCCTCTGTCTTTGTGTATGTGTGTGTGTTTTTCTTTTTTTGAGAAGAAGTCTTGCACTGTCACCCAGGCTGGAGTGCAGTGACACGATCTCGACTCACTGCAACCTCCTCTTCCTGGGTTCAAGAGACTCTCCTGCCTCAGCCTTCCAAGTAGCTTTACAGGCTTGTGACACCACTTCTAGCTAATTTGTTTTGTATTTTTGATAGAGACAGGGTTTCACCATGTTGCCCAGGCTGGTCTCCAACTCATGAGCTCAAGTGATCTGCCTGCCTTGGCCTCCCAAATTGCTAGGATTGCAGATGTGAGCCACCGTGCCCATCCATGGCTCCCTCTGTCTTTATGCGCCTGTCCCTTTGCTGTCCCTCTCCTCCACAGGGCAGCATTGGCATGGCCACCTCCCTCAGCCCTCTTCATTTCCCTTGTAGCTGCATCAACAGAGAGTGGCCGCCACAGCAGGTGACCCATTAACTGAGGAACTGGCTGCTACTGAACACCTGGAGCTCCTGGTGGGGAGGAGAAGTTCTCACCTCGGGCCTGGCTGCCCACCGTAAGTGTCCTGCAGTCAGCAGCCATCCCTGGCAATGAACTCTGCCAAGACAAACTGTGGCTGTGGCTGCGTTAGAACCCCATCAGCTCCCTGAGCCTTCCCCACCACCCCACCCTGGAATCTGAGGATCTGGTACATAGATGGACATCTATCCCCTCCTCCCTCATACATATCCAGGCTTGAAATGCCCTACAGGCCCAGAACTTTCTCACATCTGAAATGGAGGCATTGCAATGAAAAGGCATCCACAGCATCATGCAAGTGACACCTTGTAAAAAAAAAAAAAGTTTCATCTGAATCTAACCATGAGGAAATCATCAGACAAATCCACATTAGGGGCATTAAATTGCTAAACATCTGACCCAGACTATTCAAAAATGAAGAGTGAAAGGTAAAGAAAGTAGTCAATGGCCAAGTGCAGTGGCTCACACCTGTAATCCCCGCACTTTGGGTGGCCGAGGCAGGTGGATCACAAGGTCAGGAGATCGAGACCATCCTGGCCAACATGGAGAAGCCCCGTCTCTACTAAAAATACAAAAATTAGCCAGCCGTGGTGGCATGCACCTGTACTTTCAGCTACTCAGAAGGCTGAGGCAGGAGAATTGCTTGAGCCCAGGAGGCTGAGGTTGCAGTGAGCCGAGATCATGCCACTGTACTCCAGCCAGGGCAACAGAACGAGATGGCCTCAAAAAAAAAACAAAAAAAGAAAAAAAGAAAAAAAAGAGACTAAGATATGGCAACCAAAAGCAATTCACGGTTCTTGATTTGTCCTGGAAAAAAAAATAAACAGCTGTAAAGGACATAATTGAGAAAATTGGGAAGTTCGGATATGAATGTATATTAGTTAATAGTATTGTAATGTTGTAATAATTGTGCTGTGTTTGTATAGGAGAATGTTCTTTTTCTTAGGAGATACATACTGAAGTATTTAGGGATAAAATGTAATGATGTCTGCAATTGATTCTTTTTTTCTTTGTTTGTTTTGAAATGTAGTCTTGCTCTGTTGCCCAGGGTGGAGTGTAGTGGCGCAATCTCGGCTCACTACAACCTCCACCTCCCAGGTTCAAGTGATCCTCATGCCTCGGCTTCCCGAGTAGCTGGGACTACAAGCGTGTGCCACTATGTCTGGCTAATTTTTGTATTTTTAGTAGAGACCAGGTTTCATCAGGTTGGTCAGGCTGGTCTCAAACTCTTGACCTCAAGTGATCCACCCGCCTCAAGCTCCCAAAGTTCTGAGATTACAGGCGTGAGCCACTGTGCCTGGCCTACAATTAATTCTTAAATGGTTCAGCAAAAAATAAGTATATGTGTGCATGTATAATGTATGTGTGTGTAGAGAGAGAGAAAAAAAAAAGCAGCACAGAGAGAGAACCACTGTGCAAAATGTAAGCAACTGATGAATCCATATGAAGTATAGATGGGTGTTTATTGTCCTTTTCATGTAAATTTTATGTAGATTTGAAAATTTTCCAATTAAAAAGTTGTGGGGAAATGGCTGGGTGCAGAGGCTCATACCTGTAATTCCAGCACTTTGGGAGGCCGAGGTGGGTGGATCACTTGAGGCCAGGAGTTCCAGACCAGCCTGGCCAATACGGTGAAACCCCATTTCCCTTAAAAAAATACAAAAATTAGTCAGGCATGGTGGTGTGCAACTGTAGTCCCAGCTACTCGGGAGGCTGAGGCAGGATAATTGCATGAACCTGGGAGATGGAGGTTCACGCCACTGCACTTTAGCCTGAGTGACAGAACTAGACTCTATCTGAAAAAAAAAGTGAACTGTGATTGTGCCACTGCACTCCAGCCTGAGTGACAGAGTGAGACCCTGTCTCAAAAACAAAAACAGCCGGGTGCGGTGGCTCACGCCTGTAATCCCAGCACTTTGGAAGGCTGAGGCGGAAAAGAGGAACTGAAAGAATCTCACATGGCTGAAATGTTAGAGAAACAGAGCGCCAAAGCCGCTGCTCTGTGCCTCGTTCCCTTCCTCTGTCTTCGAGCAACGCGCAGAAATTCACTGATGTTCTCTCTTCACTTCAGTGGAGACCCAGGGAGCTGGGAGGGTCTCTGTGGCTGGGTGTGGTGGCTCCTGCCTATAATCCCAGCACTTGGGGAGGCTGAGGCAGGAGGCTCAAGACCAGGCGTTTGAGAGCAGGCTGGGCAACACAGTGAGACTCTGATAAAATGTCTACAAAGAAAAAAAAAGACTAGCTAGACATGGTAGTGCATGCCTGTAGTCCCAGCTATTTGGGGGGCTGGTGTAGGAGGATCGCTTGAGCCAGGGAGGTTATGACTACAGTGATCCCTGATTGCACCATTGTACTCAGCCTGGGTGATATTGAGGCCACATCTCAAAAACAAAAAGATTCTATGCATTTTATGGGACTTTCCTTTGGATCCCCCGATCAAAGCACAAGCAACACATCAGCCTGTTTCCTTCCTGAAGCTTCTTGACTGCCCAGATAGGGAGGTGAGTCCTCTCTATCTCCTCTGGCTCTGTTGTGCATTAAGGGCCAGTTTACTTGTCTGCCTCTTCCACCACCTGTGAACTCTGCTGGGTGTACTCTGCTAAGTTCTGGGGATGAGGAAATTAATAAAGGCACAGTCGTGCCCTCAAGGAACTTATGGTCTAGAGGAGAAGAAAGAAAGTAAACACGCAGTAATAAAGCTACTTGAAGAGGCAAACTGGGATTCTAAGGGTGGGAAAGAACAGACCCAAGAGATAAAGTCCCGGCTGGGCGCGGTGGCTCACACCTGTAATCCCAGCACTTTGTGAGCCTAAGGCGGGCGGACAACAAAGTCAGGAGTTCAAGACCAGCCTGGCCAACATGGTGAAATCGTATCTCTGCTAAAAATACAAAAATTAGCTGGGCGTGGTGGCGTGCGTCTGTAATTCCAGCTACTCTGGAGGCTGAGGCAATAGCATTGCTTGAACCCGGGAGGTGGAAGTTGCAGTGAGCCAAGATCACACCATTGCATTCCAGCCTGGGCGACAAAGCAAGAGTCCATCTCAAAAAAAAAAAAAAAAAGATAAACTCCCAATGAAATGGAGTGCTTGGTTTTTGATGATTCCTTCCCCAAGGGTGAGTATACCGCTATACCCTTTAAAAAAAAATTATTTATTTATTTATTTATTGAGATGGGGTTTCCATTTTATTGCCCAGGCTGGAGTGCAATGGCGCAATCTCGGCTCACCACAACTTCTGCCTCCTGGGTTCAAGCGATTCTCCTGCCTCAGCCTCCCAAGTTGCTGGGATTACATGACTTGGGAGGCTGAGGCAGGTGCCCACCACCACGCTTGGCTAATTTTGTATTTTTAGTAGAGATGGGGTTTCTCCACGTTGGTCAGGCTGGTCTTGAACTCCCGACCTCTAGTGATTTGCCTGCCTCGGCCTCCCAAAGTGCTGGGATTACAGGCGTGAGCCACCGTGCCTGGCCACCTCTATACTCTTATATTAAATCCTGTTTTGACTTGTTATTGCAAGGAAGTTTCTCCAACTTGAATCAGTCCCAACAGATAAAGTTCTCTAAAAGAGATGATGCATATGCTGAATCCTAAAGAATGAGTAGAAGATACTTGGGCTGGGGTATGAGGAGGCAGAGAAAGAAGCATGTGTAAAGACTCAGAGATATCAGGTGTAATGGCACATGCCTGTAGTCTCAGCTATTGGGGAGGGTTGGGTGGGAGGATCACTTGAGCCCAGGAGTTCCGGGCTTTAGTGCACTATGCTGATTGGGTGTCCACACTAAATTGGGCATCAATATGGTGACCTCCCTGGAGTGAGGAACCACCAGGTTGCCTAAGGAGGGGTGAACTGGCCCAGATCAGAAATGAAGCACTTCAGAGCTGATCAGTAGAGGGATCATGCCTGTGAATAGCCATTGCACTACAGCCTGGACAACATAGCAAGACCACCTCTTAACAACCTCTGCCACCAAACAAAGGCCCAGTGACAAGAGAGAGCATGGCCTGTTCTAGAAGCTTTAAATAATGGAATATGGCTAGAGGACAGACTGTTGACGGTAGGGTGAGTAAAAACAGATGAGATTGGAGGAAGCATTTCTTTCCAATAATGATGGAGCAGATCATATCAGAACGGTCATCCTACCGGTAACAATTATAAACTCTGGACAGATTATAACAAACTATCCAGCCGGGCGCAGTGGCTCACACCTGTAATCCCAACACTATGGCAGGCCAAGGTGGGTGGATCACCTGAGGCCAGGAGTTTGAGACCAGCCTGACCAACATGGAGAAACCCTGTCTCTACTAAAAATACAAAATTAGCTGGATGTGGTGGCACATGCCTGTAATCCCTACCCCGGAGGCTGAGGCAGAAGAATTACTTGAACCTGGGAGGTTGAGATTGCAGTGAGCTGAGATCCCACCATTGCACTCCAGCCTGTGAGCCACTGCTCCCAACCTTGATTTCTTCTCTAATTTAGCATTAGAACCCAGGGTCACGGGGATGGGTATTAACACATGTACTTGAATTGAAAAATGTCAGGGCTAGACTTGGTGACTCATGCTTGTAATCCTAGCACTTTGGGAGGCCGAAGGAGAATTGCTTGAGTCTGAGAGGTTGAGATTAGCTTGGGCAACATGGTAAACCTTGGTCTCTACAAAAAATACAGGCTGGGCACGGTGGCTCACCCCTGTTATCCTAGCACTTTGGGAGGCTGAGGCAAGTATATCACCTAAGGTTGGGAGTTTGAGATCAGCCTGACCAACATGGAGAAACCCTGTCTCTACTAAAAATACAAAATTAGCTGGGTATGGTGGCACATGCCTGTAATCCTAGCTACTTGGGAGGCTAGGGCAAGAGAATCGCTTGAACCCAGGAAGTGGAGATTTTGGTGAGCCAAGATTGCGTCATTGCACTCCAGCCTAGGCAACAAGACGGAGACTCCGTTTAAAAAAAAAAAAAAAAAAACAGGTCGGGCCTCGGTGGCTCACGCCTGTAATCCCAGCACTTTGGGAGGCAGAGGTGGGCGGATCACGGGGCTAAGAGATTAAGACCATCCTGGCCAACATGGTGAAACCCTGTCTCTACTAAAAATACAAAAATTAGCTGGGCGTGGTGGCGCGCGCCTGTAGACCCAGCTACTCGGGAGGCTGAGGCAGGAGAATTGCTTGAACCCGGAAGGCGGTGGTTGCAGTGAGCCGAGATTGCGCCACTGCACTCCAGCCTGGCTTCTGGCGACAGAGCAAGACTCTGTCTCAAAACAACAACAACAACGACAACAAAATAGCAGGGTATGGTGGCATGTGCTTGTGGTCCCAGCTGTTTCGTGGGACTAAAGCGATGGCTTGAGCCTGGGAGCTTGAGGCTGCAGTGAGCAAAGATCACACCACTGCACTCCAGTGTGGGCAACAGAGACCCTGTCTCAAAAAACAAAAAAACAAATGAACAAACAAAAATGTGTGTGCGTGTGTGTGTGTGTGTATTCAAATACATAAAAGCACCTTTCCAAAAAATATAAGATTGACAATGGTGTATTGAAATAAAAAATATTATAATTTCTCTAGTCCTATCAGTAAACAAGGTGTCTTGAAGTAAAAGTGTGATTGCTTATAATTGATAGTCCTTTGCTAACCTTGGCAAACTCTTTTTGGCATACTATAGTTGCCCAACGGGCTCTTCCTTCCCACTGCACAGGCAAAACCATGAAGAAATAGTTTAATTAACATTAAGGTCAGGTTGGCCATGTGGGAGAACTGGAGTTATCAATCAGTCTCCCCAAAGGCTGGAGGTTATGGGTTTTTGGTTTGGTGGGCAGGGACTAGTCAATGGATGCTGCTGATTGGTTGGGCATGCAGTCATTCGGGGTGTGGAAAATAGTCCTTATGCACTCTGTCCACCTCTGGGTTAGGCCACAGGGCCAACTGAGTCATGAGTCACCAGTCCTGGTGGCGTAAATTTGGAAAACTTCTCCAATGACCAATCTTAGATTCTAGGATAGTGATATTATCTATAGGAGCAATTGAGGAAGCCACAAGTCTTGTGACTTCTGGCTACACAACTCCTGAGCATAAGGGATTATAGAAATTATGTCAACATGTCAGCAGAATCCAGGCCCCTCCCATAAACTTAATTTTGTGGACTTTCCTTTTTTTTTTTTTTTTTTTAGGAAGGGTTTTACTCTTGTTACCCAGGCTGGAGTGCAATGGCGCGATCTTGGCTCACCGCAACCTCCGCCTCCTGGGTTCAGGCAATTCTCCTGCCTCAGCCTCCTGAGTAGCTGGGATTACAGGCACGCGCCACCATGCCCAGCTAATTTTTTGTATTTTTAGTAGAGACGGGGTTTCACCATGTTGACCAGGATGGTCTCGATCTCTTGACCTCGTGACCCACCCGCCTCGGCCTCCCAAAGTGCTGGGATTACAGGCTTGAGCCACCGCGCCCGGCCTAGGAAAACACTTTCTAGTATTTTGTCCGCGTGTCTGTTGGGGAACGCGCTTACATCCCGCAGAGGGCAGTAAGGACACAGCGCGCAACTCTGCTTTATAACTGCGAGTTAAAAAGCTTTGAATGCGCGTCAGAATCATGTAGGGGAGGTTTTATAAAATACCCGTGCTCCGCCCAAGACAATGAAATCAAACTCCCTGCGAGCGGGGCCTGAACATCAGCATTGTTTTTTTTTTTTGGCTCCTCGGAACATCAGCATTTTTGAAGACTCCCCCTCCTCCCCCGCCGCCACCGTGACTGTGCACGGGTGATCTTTAACCCCCTGCTGCTTGTTAGAGCAGCTGGATGACACCTCGCGGGCTTATTCTCACAAATGAGCTCCTGAATGGAGTCCTTTCCTCCCAAGAGTTGTCGGTGTTGCATCTTTTTGTTGACTGTGTGTGTGTGTGTGTGTGTGTGTGTGTGTGTATTTTTTCTTTTTGCCTGCAGCACACGGTATTCCCAGGCGGTCTCCCATCCAAGTACTAACAAGGTCCGACCCTGCTTAGCTTCCCAGATCAGACGAGATCGGGCTCGTTCGTATTTATATATTTTTAGCCTGCGGAAGAAGACATCCAATGGCGCTGCATCTTAATGGGGGCACATCCAGCGAAAGGGAATCTCGGAGACATCCGCGGGTTCTAGCGGCTGGCGGCAAGTGGGTTTCCGAGGGCAGGGGGCCGCCACGGAAGGTCAGCTCTGCCATACGCGCTGGGCTGTGGAGGCTCTAAGTCCGCTTTCAGCAGGACCGGAGGAAGGACACTGGGTGGCCCCAAGGGAGGAGGGGAAGAGGCGACCGAGAAGAGGAGGAGGGCCGGGGGAAGAGGGGAAGAGGAAGGGCGAGGGAGGAGCCTGGGCCGCCTCGACCCAGACGTCCGCGCCCAGCCTGGTCGCCATGGCGGGCCTGGGCCCGGGCCCCGCCGTGCCCGTGTGGCTGGCCGAGGACGACCTGGGCTGCATCATCTGCCAGGGGCTGCTGGACTGTCCGGCCACGCTGCCCTGCGGCCACAGCTTCTGCCGCCACTGCCTGGAGAGCCTGTGGGACGCACGGGGCGCGGGGGACCGCTGGGCCTGCCCCACCTGCCGGGAGGTGGCCGCGCAGCAGCCGCGGCTGCAGAAGAACACGCTGCTGCAGGACCTGGCGGACAAGTACCGCCGCGCCGCGCTCGAGGTGGAGGCGGGCCCCGACTCGGCCCCCCGCCCCGGCCCCGGGCCCAGCCCGGCCCCCAGGCCCGGGCGCCGCCGGTCACTGCAGCGGGTAGGGAGGCCGAGCCCGCAGCTCCCCTCGCGCCCCCGGGCTGCCCCCTTTCCCTCTGGCTCGAACCCCCTTCCTCAGCCGTTCTACTTTTACGTTCCTTTTCTCAATCTAACAGTCCACTCCCGCTTTTAGGAGGAACTTTGTAGTTCAGCAAAGTATGAAGAAGCAGAAAAAAAAAAAAAAAATTCCCCATCTCCCGAAAGCCTGTCAACCTCGCAGCTATACGCCTTGGCATATTTCAGCTTCTTCCCAATCTATCTGCGGTCTCTTTCTCTCAAAATTGTAAAATTGTGGTAAGATGTATGTAACATTAAAACTTACCATTTTTGCCTTTTTTTTTTTTTTTGATGGAGTCTCTCTGTCACCAGGCTGGAGTGCAATGTCACGATCTCGGCTCACTGCAACCTCCGCCTCCCGGGTTCAAGCGACACTTCTGCCTCAGCCTTCCGAGTAGCTGGGGCTGCAGGCGCGCACCACCACGCCCAGCTAATTTCTTTTCTATTTTAGTAGAGACAGGGTTTCACCGTGTCGCCCAGGCTGGTCTCGAACTCCTGAGCTCAGGCAATCCTCCCGCCTCTGCCTCCCTAAGTGCCAGGATCACAGACGTGAGCCACCGCGACCGGCCTCATTTTAACCATTTTTAAGGGTATAATTCAGTGACAAATTAGTTACATTTCCAGTGTGCAAATATCACTGCTGTTTCCAAAACCCTTTGATGACCATAAACAGACTCTGTACCCATTAAGTAGTAACTCCTCATTTTCCCTCCCTCTAGCCCCTGCTCACATCTAAGCTACTTTCTGTATCTGAGTTTTCCTGTTCTAGTTATTCATATAACTGGAATCCTTCAATGTTTGTGCCTTGTTTCTTTCACTTAGCGTAGTGCTTTCAAGGTTCATTCGTGTTGTAGCATGTGTCAGAACTTTATTCCTCTTATGGAGGCTGAATAATATCCCATTGGGTGGATGTGCCACATTTTTAATTTAATTTATTTTTTTATTTTTTTGAGATGAAGTCTCGCCCTGTCACCAGACCGGAAGTGCAGTGGCGCCATCTTGGCTCAGCAACCTCTGCCTCCCGGGTTCAAGGGATTCGCCTGCCTCAGTCTCCCGAGTAGCTGGGACTACAGGTGCGCACCACCATACCCAGCTAATTTTCGTATTTTTAGTAGAGACGGGGTTTCACCATGTTGGCCAGGATGATCTCGATCTCCTGACCTCGTGATCTGCCTGCCTCAGTCTCGCAGTGTTGGGATTACAGGCGTAAACCACTGCGCCCGGCCAATGTGCCATATTTTAAAAAATCCATTCATCCATCCTTGGACATTTGAATTGTCTCCACCTTTCGGTTACGTGTGAATAATGCTGCAGGGAACATTGTGCAAGTATCTGAGTCCCTATTTTCCATTATCTTGGTATATACCTAGGAGTGTGATTGCGGGATCATATGGTAATTTTATGTTTAACTTATTGAGGAATGGTTTGTTTTCCACAAGGCCTGTACCTTTTTGCATTCCCACCAGCCATGTACAAGGGTTCCAATTTTTCCACATTCTTCTGAATACTTATTTTCTGGATGTTTTTGTTTTTCTTTTTTAGCATAGCTTTCACACCTTAGTATAGGCGTGACGTGACATCTCATTGTGATTTTTTTTTTTTTTTTTTTTTTGAGATGGAGTCTCACTCCAGGCTGGAGTGAAGTGGCACGGATCTTGGCTCACTGCAACTTCTGCCTCCTGGGTTCAAGCAATTCCCCCTGCCTCAGCCTCTGGAGTAGCTGGGATTACAGGCACCTGCCACCACACCTGGCTAATTTTTGTATCATTGCCAAATCAAATGTCATAAATTTTGCCCTGTATTTTCTTCTAAGAGCTGTATTATTTTAGGTCTTACATTTAGGTCTTTGATCCATTTTGAGTTAGTTTTTGTATCTAATGTTAGGTAAGGATCCAACCTTATTCTTTTGTGTATAGATATCCAGTTTTCACAATACAATGTGTTGAAAAACTATTCTTTCCCCATTGAATGGTCTTGGCACCTTTGTCAAAAATCATTTAATCATATATATGAGAGTTTATTTCTGGGTACTCTATTCTAGTCCATTGGTCTATATGTCTGTTTTTATGCCATTACCACGGTATTTATGACTCCCTCTGTCCATAGTGGTTCCTGGGTCCAGTTTTATAGAACCCAGGAGCTGAACTTTTCTGTTTTAAAGGTGGAAGTACAGAAGAGCATTACAGAAGTTGGTCAGGAGCTGACAGAGCTGGGGGAACGGCTTGTAGACATTGTCAGGAGCCTGCAGAGTCAGAGGCCCCTCTCAGAATCTGGACCAGACAATGAACTGAGCATCCTGGGCAAGGTAGGCTCCGCTGGGAGAGGAAAGGATCTGGGAGGGGATAGGGCTGGGGATTGCTTTCAACTGAAACAACATGAATGTGTTTGAAGCTGAAGGATGCAGTAAGTCTCAACCTTTTATTGTTCTCTTCACTACCAGACATGAATGATTGGACATTTGGTATGCTTGAGGTAAGGTTGGGAAGCTTTGAGTGGGCTAGGATCACTCCATTTAACCAGCTATCTCTAAGATCACCAATGACCTCTGTGTAAACCCTTTAGACATTCTGATGCCTGTCTTCACTGACCTTTCAGCAGCCTTTGACACAGTGGACTCCACCTTTATTCTTAGCTTTTGGGACAGCAGTCTTCTGCCTTTCCCCCACCTCTCTCTGGCTGATCCTTCTCAGTCTGTTTGCAGGCTCTAAGACCTGCCTAATTACCTCTCAAATCTATTTACTACTCTTGAGCTCCTTTGAGACTTCCCTAATGCAAGCCTTTGATAATTTCGTGCCTGGATTGCTATCATAACCTTCCAAATGCTCCACTCTCCCTCTTCCAGCCTGTTTTCCTCATGGTCATCACAGTGACCACCATAAACACTAATCTGAAAATATAACTCATCTGCTTAAAACGTTCAAGTGACATTAGTTTGCTCAGGAATAAGATCCAAATCCTCACAGGATCAACAAAGCCCTGTAGGATCCCATCTGTGTCTGCCTCTCAAATCTCATCTCTGCTCACTCTGCCTGGCTCTGTGAGCTCCAGCTACATTGGCCGCGTCAGTGCCTCTGGTGTCTCACGTCTTCCCACTACAGGGCACCCTTCATGGAATGCTCTCCTTTCCCTCCATCACTTAGGTAATGCTTGCTCATCCTGCAGATCCCAGCTACAACATTCCTTCTTCAGAGAGAAGCCTTCACTGATTTCCTGGAACAAATCAAATTCCCACATTAGAGGCTCTTAGGATTCCATGTACCTTTCACTGCTAGTAGTTATCACCATTGTAACTTTGTAATGACTTGTGCCATACTCTGTATTAATGTCTGCCCCCCTCCCTTTTCCTGCACTGGACTCTTAGCTTCATGAGGATAGGGACTTTGATGCTTTTGTTCTTTTGTCCACCATTGTATCCCCATGCCCTAGCACAGTACCCACTTATAGTAGGGCTCAACAAATACCCACTGAATGTATGAATAAATGCATCTTCAGGGATGCGACGTGTTGGAATAGAGTCTGAGAGTCTGACTTTCAGACTTGACATTGTCACTCACTAGTATCATGACCTTGGGCAAGTCTTTTCATCCTTCTGCGTCCCAGTTTCCTGTCTATAAGGTAGAAATAATAAGACATGGCCTGCCACGTCACTGGTTTATTGTGAGGATTAAAATAGGTTTAAAAAAGGGCTTGACCAATGTTAAAATATGGGGTGATATAATTAACTGTGGCAATTTAGTTAACCCCTATGAACTTCAACTTCTTTCGTTGAAAATGGAGATTTTTTACAGGCCTTTAAACCTACTTTGTGAGGTTGTTATGCAAATGAGAGAAAGGCAATAGCTAGCATGTCGAAAACACTCAATAAGTGTAATACTACTGTATTTTGATTGGTGGAAAGAATGAGGAGTGGATTATGCAAAGTTGGGAAAGAAAGTCAGGGGTTGAAGTTGGTGAGCAGATAAAGGGCAGTATTGGGGAAGAACAGGACCTGAGGCTAAAGAAAATCAGGGAGCATGTGTTGGAGGCCCCAGAAAGCAGGACCTAGATGCAGGTAACTTGAGAGGTAGCTCTTGGGAAATGACATGATATAATGATAGAGGTGGGACAAGATTCTTTTTTTTTTTTTTTTTTTTTTTGAGACAGAATCTTGCTCTGTCGCCCCCAGGCTGGAGTGCAGTGGTGTGATCTTCTCAGCTCACTGCAACCTCTACCTCCTGGGTTCAAGTGATTCTCCTGCCTCAGCCTCCCACGTGGCTGGTATTACAGGCACCTGCCACCATGCCCGGCTAATTTTTGTATTTTTAGTACAGATGGGGTTTCACCGTCTCAGCCAGGCTGGGCTCGGACTCCTGACCTCAGGTGATCTGCCCGCCTCAGCCTTCAAAAGTGCCGAGATTACAGGTTTACAGGCGTGAGCCACCACACCCAGCTGAAAAGGTTATTCTGACCTCCATGGTTTATCTCAGTAACTGTCTGTAATGTTTATTTTATAAAGCCCCTAGGAGTTAGATGTGACCCCTCAAAAAAAGAAAAAAAAAAGAAAGCCCTTCTAAGATGCATCTAAAAATGTTAAACTTTTTTGGTATTACCTAAGAAATCAAAGTTTATTGTGCAAAATGTTAGAATAGCATTAAATAAAGCAAATTAAAATGCTCCATCACTCCATCACCCAGAAGCAACCACTCTGATATTTTTGCTATACTATGTATTATTCCAGATTGTTTTCAAGGCATATACTTTGAGGACCTAATTTTGTTTTTAAAAACTTGCTAGCTGGGTGCGGTGGCTCACGCCTGTAATCCCAACACTTTGGGAGGCTGAGGCAGGTGGATCACCTGAGGTCAGGAGTTCAAGACCAGCCTGGCCAACATGGTAAAACCTCATCTCTACAAAAATACAAAATTAGCAGGTGTGGTGGTGGGTGACTGTAATCCTAGCTACTTGAGAGGCTGAGGCAGGAGGATCGCTTGAACCCAGGAGGTGGAGGTTGCAATGAGCTGAGATCATGCCACTGCACTCTATCCTGGGTGACAGAGCAAGACTCAGTCTCCAAAGGAAAAAAAAAAAAAAAAAGACTTACTTGGAGTTAAATAGATTAAATAAAAAATTATAAATGGACAGAAGGACTTGAATATAATATTTGATGGGCTGTGTAGGGGACTTCTGTTTATTCATTTTTAAATGATTCATCAATAGACTTTTTCTTCTGGGGTGGATCTTTCCATGGCTTCTCCAAAGCTGGTGACTTCCGATGCAGCTGCAGGGAAAATCAAAGATATTCTCCATGACCTAGAAGAAATTCAGGAAAAATTACGAGAAAACTTCTCCTGGAAAGAGGCTCCTGAAGCACAGACACAGGGTGAGCTGATCTTATTTATTGGAGGAGGATTAAATATGAAAGTTGGGGGTAATGGCGAAGTGCTCCATGGCTTTGTTCTTTGGGGACAGGATCCCAGAGTCCAGCTATATTACCACTGTGATATTGGGAATCAGGTAGGGGTGGGCTGAGGTGTTTTTGTGGTTGAATGTGTTTTTGGCGATGACTGAAGCTATGATGTATCACTTAATAGATAGAAACTCATTTTTGAAGATCCATGCACATACTGGCAGGCAAATCACCTGAGGTTCAAGGAGTTCGAGACCAGCCTGGTCAACATGGCAAAACCCCGTCTCTACTAAAAACACAAAAATTAGTCAGGTGTGGTGGCAGGCGCCTGTAATCCCAGCTACTTGGGAGGCAGAGGCACAAGAATCACTTGAACCTGGGAGATGGAGGTTGCAGGGAGCCAAGATCATGCTATTGCGCTCCAGCCTAGGCAACAAGAGTGAAACTCCATCTCAAAAAAAAAAAAAAGTAATTTCTTATGTAAGTGGAGAAGCATGATTCCTTGGAAAAAGTTTCTTTTTTTTTTTTGAGACGGAGTTTCACTCATGTTACCCAGGCTGGAGTGCAATGGCACGATCTCGGCTCACCGCAACCTCCGCCTCCTGGGTTCAGGCAATTCTCCTGCCTCAGCGTCCTGAGTAGCTGGGATTACAGGCACGCACCACCATGCCCAGCTAATGTTTTGTATTTTTAGTAGAGACAGGGTTTCACCATGTTGACCAGGATGGTCTCGATCTCTTGACCTCATGATCCACCCGCCTCGGCCTCCCAAAGTGCTGGGATTACAGGCTTGAGCCACCGCGCCCAGCCTGGAAAAAGTTTCTTAAGGAAAGCAATTAGAGAGCAGTTCATTAGTTGTTCCAAATATTTTCTGAGAAAAAAGCACCTTCTTATCCTGTGTGCTTCTAAACTTAGGTTGGATTCCTTAGTAATTTTATTTATTTATACAAATGTAAGACCAATTTTTAAATTTGGGCGGTTACATTTAAAATTTCTCATTCAAAAATCAAAACACGGCTGGGTACAGTGGCTCATGCCTGTAATCCTAACACTTTGGGAGGCTGAGGCGAGTGTATCACCTGAGGTCGGATTTTGAGACCAGCCTGGCCAACATGGTGAAACCCCATCTTTACTAAAAATACAAAATATTAGCTGGGTGTGGTGGCACATGCCAGTAGTCCCAGCTACTCTGGAAGCTTAAGCAGAAGAATCGCTTGAACCTAGGAGGCGGAGGTTGCAGTGAGCCAAGGTTGCACCACTGTGCTCTAGCCTGGGCAACAAGAACGAAACGCTGTCTTAAAAAAAAAAAAATTCAAAACAGTGTAAAAAGGACATACAGCCCAATCTCCCTCCAATCCTTGCCAATTGCCCTATTCTTTCATCTCAGTGCACCACTTTTATTAGTTTTTGGAGTGTCTGTTCAGAAGTTATTTATGCAAATATCAGCAAATATGAATTTATATTCTTATTTGTCCCAATTTTTTTTTTTTGTTTGAGACGGAGTTTCGCTGTTGTTGCCCAGACTGGAGTGCAATGGCGCGATCTCAGCTCACCGCAACCTCCGCCTCCTGGGTTCAAGTAATTCTCCTGCCTCAGCCTGCCAAGTAGCTGGGACTACAGGCACACACCATCATGCCCAGCTAATTTTTGTATTTTTAGTAGAGATGGGGTTTCACCTTGTTGACCAGGATGGTCTCGATCTCTTGACCTTGTGATCCACCCGCCTCGGCCTCCCAAAGTGCTGGGATTTCCCAATTTTTTTATACACAAAAGATAGCACATTAAATGCATTGTCTGTAGTTTGCTTTTCTCTTTTACTTAATATATCTTCATTGTATAGATCAGTACTTAGGACATATTTTCTTTGCTTTTTTTTAAATTACCTAGAGCATTTTCTCTTCTACAGCTGCTCAGTATTCCAGTGTCTGGGTATGCCAACACTTACTTACTCAATCCTCTACAGATGGATGCATGATTGTTTCCAATTGTTTACAATGACAAATAATGTTGAAGTCAATAACTGTGTATGTACATTGTGTCATATGGGTGCAGATATAATTTTAGCTTAAATTGCCAGTGAAGGTTGCTGGGTCATAGGGTAAATTCATTTGTCATTTTGATATACATTGCCAAATCACCCTGCAGTTGGGTTATACTAGTTTTATATATATATACTAGTTTTATCCCCAACCTGCCAATTGAGTGTGTTATCAGACATTTGTCTTTTTTTTTTAAACCAATCTCATGGGTCAACATATTGACGTGAAATTAGCCGGGCTTGGTGGCGAGTGCCTGTAATCCCAGTTACTTGTAAGGTTGATGCAGGAGAATCGCTTGAACCCGGGAGGCAGAGGTTGCAGTGAGCCAAGACCGTGCCATTGCACTCCAGCTTGGGCAACAAGAATGAAACTCTGACTCAAAAAAAAAAAAAGATGTGAACTTTTAATCAGAACTGCACTTTCAATTTGTGTTTTTCCATGACTTGTCTGTTCATATCTTGTGTTATTGGTCTTTTTAAAATTGACATTTAGGAACTCTTTGTAAATTAAAGAGATTAACCTTTTGTCTGTTATATGACTGGCAAATTTTGTTCCTTTATATCTCATTTATCTTTTTATTTATCTTTTATAGGTTTTATAATGCCATACAGACATTTTTAATTTTACTTTTTTTTTTTTTTTTGAGACGGAGTTTCACTCATGTTACCCAGGCTGGAGTGCAATGGCGTGATCTCGGCTCACCGCAACCTCCGCCTCCTGGGTTCAGGCAATTCTCCTGCCTCAGCCTCCTGAGTAGCTGGGATTACAGGCACGCGCCACCATGCCCAGCTAATGTTTTGTATTTTTAGTAGAGACGGGGTTTCACCGTGTTGACCAGGATGGTCTCGATCTCTTGACCTCGTGATCCACCCGCCTCGGCCTCCCAAAGTGCTGGGATTACAGGCTTGAGCCACTGCACCCGGCCGTTTTTTTTTTTTTTTTGAGAAGGAGTTTGCTCTTGTCTCCCAGGCTGGAGTTCAATGGCATGATCTTGGCTCACTGCAATCTCTGTCTCCTGGGTTCACGTGATTTTCCTGCCTCAGCCTCTCAAATTGCTGGGATAACAGGCCTGCATCACCATAGCAGGCTAATTTTTGTATTCTTAGCAGAGACGGGGTTTTACCATGTTGGTTAGGCTGGTCTCGAACTCCTGACCTCAGGTGATCCATCTGCCTTGGCCTCCCAAAGTGCTGGGATTACAGGCATGAGCCACCACGCCTGGCCTTTACATAATTTTTTATAGAGATAAGATCTCACTGTTTTTCCCAGGCTGGTCTCAAATTCTTAGGCTCAAGCAATCCTTCTGCCTCTTCCTGCCAAAGTGCTGGGATTACAGGTGTGAGCCACCATGCCTGGCCTCAATTTTTTTTTTTTTTTAATTTTTTTTTTTTTTCAGCTTTGACAGCGTGTGATTTAAGAACTGCTCTCCCATCTTAGCAATATCCCGGTGTGGCTGGAGCCACAGTCACTTCTTGGTCTTGGCCCAGAACTGTCGGTAGCGCTACACATCAAAGTCATCGCTAAGCTCCTGCTCGTGGTCCTTCGTCCGCTGGAGCTGAGCCTCACATTTCCGCAGCCTGGCCCGGCGCTCCTCAGGGTCTTGTTCTATTGCCTAGACTGGTTGACTAGAGTGCCATGACAATTCCTAGGCTCTAAATGTTTCCTTTTTATTTTTATTTTTTGAGACAGTCTTCCTTTGTCACCCAGGCTGGAGTGCCATGATGCCATCATGGCTCATCCCAGCCTTGACCTCCCAGGCTCAAGTGATCCTCCCTCCTTAGCCTGCTGAGTAGCTGGGACTGCAGGCACGTGCCACCATACCTGGCTAATTTTTGTATTATTGTTAGATACCGCGTTTCACTATGTTGCCTAGGCTGGCCTAGAACTCCTGGGCTCAATTAGGTCACCTCAGCCTCTTGAGTAGGTGGGACTACAGGTGGCGCCACCACACTTTGTTAATTTTTTGTTTATTTTTTTGTGGAGAATAGGTCATGCTTCTATTTTCACATAATAAATTTCATCCAGTTTTTCTCTTAAGCATTGTAGATTTTAAGTTTTAGTTAGGAAACTCAACCACCTGAAGTTTAGAAAGGAATTTTCTGAGGTATATGTGTGTGTTTGTATTTTTACAGTTTACATTTAAATCTTTGGTTTCATGTTTTACATTGAAACCTTTGACCCATTTCAAGTCTATCTCAGCATGTATCCTAATGCATTTTGTTTTATTTATTATTATTATTTTTTGAGATGGAGTCTCACTCTGTTGCCCAGGCTGGAGTGCAGTGACATGATCTTAGCTCACCACAACCTCTGGCTCTTGGGTTCAAGTGACTCTCTTGCCTCAGCCTCCCAAGTGGCTGGGATTACAGGCTCCCACCATCACATTTGGCTAATTTTTGTATTTTTAGTAGAGATGGAGTTTCCCCATGTTGGCCAGGCTGGTCTCGAACTCCTGGCCTTAGGTGATCTGCCCGTCTTAGCCTCTCAAAGTGCTGGGATTACAGGTGTGAGCCACCACGCCTAGCCTGTAACTTTAATTTTTTAGGAACACGTCTTACTTTGTTGCCCAGACTAGAGTATAGTGGCACAACCACGGCTCACTATAACCTCAGTCCTCCTGCGTCAGCCGCCGCAGTAGGACTGTAGGCCCACACCACCATGCTCAGCTATTTAAAGAATTGTTTTGTAAGGCTGGGTGTGGTGGCTTACGCCTGTAATCCCAGCAGTTTGGGAGGCCAAGGCAGGCAGATCACAAGGTCAGAAGTTGGAGATCAGCCTGACCAACATGGTGAAAACCCGTCTCTACTAAAAATACAAAAAGTAGCCAGTTGTGGTGGCAAGTGCCTGTAGTCCCAGCTACTTGGGAGACTGAGGTGGGAGAATCAGAAGAATCACTTGAACCTGGGAAGCAGAGGTCATAGTGAGCTGAGATCGTGCCATTGCACTCCAGCCTGGGTGACAGAAAAAAAAATTGTTTTGTAAAGACAAGGTCTCAATATGTTGCCCAGGCTGGTCTGGAGCACCTGGCCTTAAGTGATCCACCTACCTCAGCCTCCTAACTAGCTGGGACTATAAGCATGGGCCACCATGCCTTGCTTCATGTTGCAGAATTGAAACTCTATACCCATTAAGCAACAATTCCATATTCTCTCAGCCCCCTCTTACCTGGCAGCCACTATTCCACTTTCTGTTTCTGTGAATTTGACTATTCTGTATATCTCATCTGAGTAGAATCATACAGTTTTTGTGTGAGAGGTTTATTTCACTTAGTATAATGTACTCCAAGTTCACCTATATTGTAGCATATATCAGAATTTGGTTTCTTTTGGGTGTTTTTTGGTTTGTTTCTTTGAGATGAAGCCTCGCTCTGTTGCCTAGGCTGGAGAGCAGTGGCACGATCCTGGCTCACCGCAACCTCTGCCTCCTGGGTTCAAGCGATTCTCCTGCCTCAGTCTCCCGAGTAGCTGGGACTACAGGCACGCTCCACCACGCCCGGCTAATTTTTGTATTTTTAGTAGAGACAGGGTTTCACCATGTTGGCCAGGATGGTCTCCATCTCTTGACCTCATGATCTGCCTGCCTCGGCCTCCCAAAGTGCTGAGATTACAGGCATGAACCACCACGCCCGGCCTGCTTTTTGTATTTTTAGTAGAGATGAGGTTTCACCATATTGGCCAGGTTGGTCTCGAACTCTTGAGCTTGTGATCCACCTGCCTTGGCCTCCCAAAGTGCTGGGATTACAGGTGTGAACCATTGCACCCAGCCCAAATTCATTACTTTTTGAGGCTAAATAATTCCATTTTATGTATATATCACATTTGTTTATCCATTTCTCTGTCTGTGGACACATGGATTGCTTCAGTTCCCACCTGAATTTTGAGAATGTCCTCTTGACAGGCAGCTTTCTTGCTCTCATGGCCTAAGTTGTCACAGGCACACCCTAGACAAGGTCTTTCATATCTTCTCAGGCTGAGTCTTAGATTCACTTCAGCTGCAGTCACTTAAAGATACAACTAGGAGAAGATTTCACCTTCAAAGTCTGCACTCAAGGACTTCCATTAGTTACCATCTGCCTGACGTGGTCATTGTACTCTAGCACACACAACTGCTTAAAGTTAATAATTAAAGTTTAGCACTTTGAGAGGGAAAGGTGTCAGCAATGGTGATGAGTCTCACACCAACTCAAGTTACCCAGTTTATATAACAACAGTTTAAAGCATTGACTTGGGGGTCTTGGATATTCTAGGTGTCAGGGTGCTACAATCCTCTGAAATTGTATTAGTTAATTTTATTTGATAAGTGTGCATGAAACACCTTCTATGTATGGGGCTGGCATGGGGATTGGTGCTTAAAACAATATAGATGAACAAGATCTCTGCCATCAAGGAGCTTAGAGCTTAGTGAGGAAACAGTGTCAAGTCCATAGTAAGAACACGGAGGTGCACGTACCTGCGCTGCATGCACTGCCTCTGCCTGATCCAGTCCTGACACTGAAAAATGTGCAGATGATGAGAAGACAAGCCATGTGCCTTGATCATGATGTTTGGATACCTTCAGTTTGCCTTTTTCTGATGGGACTTTCCCCTCCTGATTTTTTTGTTACTTAGGGGAACTCTTGGAAGCCCTGTCTTCCTCCTCATGCCCATTGTCTGACCAGAGCCGCCCTGCACTCAGGAGAGCTTCTCAGTTTGCTCAGTGTAAGTATGTGGTTCACTTTAAATTTGGGTGTGGCTTGCTGAGGAGCAGAGCTTCGAGGACATGCTATGTCCATCTATCTCCCTACTGCTGGGTCCACTCCTTGGCTTACTGCACATGGATTATTCACTATACCATGTCCTTCCATTGGGGGGAGCCGATTGCAAAGGCAAAGCAGGTTGAGACTCTATACCCAAGAGCACTCAGAGCCCAGGCAACCTTTGAGCATCTCTGCTGTGGCCACCAACTACAGCCAACTGCCTGTTCCCAAACCTGCTGAGATCTTTCTGCCGTCACAGTCTGGGGTAGTCCTTAAGAGCATGGATCTAGCTGGGCATGGTGGCGCGTGCCTGTAATCCCAGCTACTCAGGAGGCTGAGGCAGGAGAATTGCCTGAACCCAGGAGGCGGAGGTTGCGGTGAGCCGAGATCGCGCCATTGCACTCCAGCCTGGGTAACAAGAGCGAAACTCCGTCTCGAAAAAAAAAAAAAAAAAGAGCATGGATCCTGGGGCCAGACTGCTTGGGTTTGACTCCCAGCAGCTCCACTAACTAGTAGTGTGATCTTGAACAAGACACTTAAGCTCCTAGAGCCTGGGTCACTCATCTATAAAATGGAGATAATATAGTACTTCTCTTGCGGGATTGCCATGAGGGTTAAGTGAGTGAGTATGAGGAAAACGCCTGGAGTAGTCACGCTGTATAAGTGTTAGCAATTTACTCACTCAATAGGAAACCATATGAAATACACAAAGTGAATAAGATATGGTCCTTAGTCAGGAAGTTTCAGTTTAACTGGGGAGATATAAACAGCTGTGGTCATAAATCACCATAAGATAGCTAGAAGATGGTAAGTATCTTGAGAGAACACATAAAGCACCACGGGTGTTGAGAAAAGCAAGAGATGACTCTTTTGCTGGATGGGATGCAGAGAGGGCTTCTGAAAAATGACTAGTGGGTAAGTAAAAGTTAATATGGGAAAGGGGTATTGATATAACAATATCAAAGATATGTATAGAAAATTGCAAGTTGATATACCAATTTTTGTTTGTTTGCTTGTTTATTTTTGTAGAGACAGGGTCTCTCTATGTTGCCCAGGCTGGTCTGGAACTCCTGGCCTCAAATGATCCTCCTACCTCAGTCTCTCAAAGTGCTGGGATTACAGGCATGAGCCACTGTGCCTGGCCTGATTTTTTCTTCTTAGAGACAAATCTTGCTCTGTTGCCCAGGCTGGAGTGCAGTGGCACAACCTTGGCTCACTGCAACCTCTACCTCCCAGGCTCAAGCAATTCTCATGCCTCAGCCTCCCGACTAGCTGGGATTACAGGCATGAGCCAGCATGCTCAGCTAATTTTTGTATGTTTAGTAGAGACAGGATTTTGCCGTGATGGCCAGGCTGGTAGTTGAACTCCTGGCCTCAAGTGATCCACCCGCCTCGGTGTCCCAAAGTGCTGGGATTATAGGTGTAAACCAGTGTACCCAACTGAAGGAGCTGGCCTGATTTTTAAAATTGACATGTAATAACTTTATAGTGTGGGTGCAGTGACTCATGCCTGTAATTGCAGCACATTGGGAGGCTGAAATGGCAGGATTGCTGGAGCTCAGGAGTTCCACATCAGCCTGGGAATCATGGCAAAATCCTGCTTCTTTTCAAAATAAATTTTAAAAATAAATAAATAAATATAATTGCACATATTTATGGGATAGATAGTGATGTTTCAATACATATGATGCATAGTGATCAGATCAAGGTAGTTAGCATATCTGTCATCTGAAACATTTGTCATTTCTTCCTGTTGGATGATGTGCCAATTTTAATGCCAGTGTGAGTAAAACATTATCACACCAAAAGATACAAAGCTGCTTTTTGCTATTTCAAGACCTCTTAGCATGCATGATCAAAAGATAACTGTCCATGTTCTTATTGTTTTTTGTTTTTTTTTTTCCGAAGGGGCCATTAATCCAACCTTTAACTTGAAGAGCCTTTCCTGCAGCCTGGAAGTGTCCAGGGATTTCCATACAGTGACTGTGTCTCCCCGCCTACAACCCTATCGCTTGAGTTGTGAGAGGTTTTCTACCAGCCAGGTCTTATGTTCCCAGGCCCTCTCTTCTGGAAAGCATTACTGGGAAGTGGACACTAGGAATTGTAGCCACTGGGCAGTTGGGGTGGCTTCCTGGGAGATGAGCCGTGACCAGGTCCTGGGAAGGACTACAGACTCTTGTTGTGTGGAATGGAAAGGGACTAACCAGCTCTCTGCATGGCACATGGTCAAGGAAACTGTCCTTGGCTCAGACAGACCTGGGGTGGTGGGCATCTGGTTGAACCTTGAGGAGGGGAAGCTTGCCTTCTATTCAGTGGACAATCAGGAGAAGCTTCTGTATGAGTGTACCATCTCTGCCTCCTCTCCTCTGCACCCTGCCTTCTGGCTGTATGGCTTACATCCTGGAAATCACCTGATAATAAAGCAAGTAAAGGTCTAAGGTTTCCTCAGGGATTACAAAACAGTGGTTTCCTGGTCTCTCCTTCCCAGGGCAGTAACTTAAGAATACCACTTTTGCTGGGCGCAGTGGCTCACCCCTTTAATCCCAGCACTTTAGCAAGGTCAGGAGTTCGAGACCAAGCTGGCCCACATGGTGAAACCCCATCTCTACTAAAAATACAAAAATTAGCTGGGTGTGATGGCAGACACCTGCAATCTCTGCTACTCAGGAGGCTGAGGCAAGAGAATCACTTGAACCCGGGAGGCGGAGGTTGCAGTGAGCTGGGATCATGCCATTGCACTGCAGTCTGGGTGACAAGAGCAAGACTCTGTCTCAAAAAAAAAAAAAAATACTGCTTTTTAACTAGAGATTGGGTCTCACTAGGTTGCCCAGGCTGGTGTCAAATTTCTGGCCTCAAGCAGTCCTCCCACCTCAGCCTCCCAAAGTGCCAGGATTACAGGTGTGAGCCACCACATCTGGCCAAGAATACCACTTTTGAAGTTAATCCTTTTGTGTGATATAGGATTAACTCAGCTGTTATACTCTGCACATTCCAAATAAAGGACACGCCCATGCCTGGCTCCTGGGATATAATCTCTAAGCCATTAGAATATCCTGCCTGATAAGAGTGTTTGTGTTTACCTGTGGGCCATGGGCCATGCACTATCAGCTTGACCTCAGCAGGGTCAAGCTGAGGAGACTAAGCCATGTGGGCAGTGAAGCATGCCTCTGTGACCAATCCCCCAAAAAAGCCCTGGACACCACGGCATGGGTGAGCTTCCCTTGTTGGTAATACTCCATGCCCACATCATGGTGGCCACACATCATTGCTGGGAGAATTAAACATTATTCTCAAGACTCTGCCAGGAAAGGATAATTGGACGTTCTCTTCGACCTTGCCTTGTGTGCCTTTCTTCATTGCTGATTTTATTCTGTAGCCTTTCACTATAATAAACTGTAACCATGAGTACAACAGCTTTGCTGAGTTCTTTGAGTCCTTCTAGTGAATCACTAAACATAAGGGCAGTCTCAGGGATCTCCAAACATAATTTGCTACTTATCAATTGTTGTGTAAGAATATTGCCACAAATTTAATGGTTTAAAATAACACATATTTATTATTTCACAGTTTCTGAGAGTCAGGAGTCAGGGCACAGCTTAGCTGAGGCTCCTACCTTGGAGTTTGACAAGCCGCCATCAACATGTCAACTGGGGACACAGGGTCAGCAGAGGCTCGACTGGGGAAGGATCTGCCTCCAAACTCACATGGTTGTTGGCAGCCTTCAGTTCCTTGTGGGTTGCTGGACTGAGGGCCTCAGTTTCTTTCTAGTTGTTGGCTGGATACCACCCTCAGTTCCTTACCCCATGGGCCTTTGCAACACGGCTGCTTGCTTCCTCAAATCCAACAAGGGAGAAGGTCTTCTAGCGAGATGGGCACAAAATCTTGCGTAGATCTTACATAGCATAACCACATGAACACATAATCATGTACATCCCATTGCCTTTGCCTTCTATTGATAAGAAGCAAGTCATGGTATCACCTACACTCAAGGGGTGGGGATTACACAAGGACATGAATGCCAGGAGATAGGGCTCATGGGGGCCACCCTATGGTATGTGTGACACAGTGAATTATTTCACACTTGATTTCCCCTGTTTTTGAAAACCATTTTATTAACTTAAGAAAACAGATATAGAAAACTACATGAAACGTGGAGCTTAATGAGTTATTATAAGGTAAATAAATACCCTTGTAACTATCATTTAGGTCAAGAAATAGAACCTGCTACCCACCCTAGAAGCTCTTTCCTGTGCCCTATTCTAATCACAGAACCCTCCCTATGCCTGGAAGGAGTCTTGACTTTCACACTAATCACTTCCTTGCATTTCTTTAGAGTTTTATCACTCAAATATGCATCCACAGCCACAGTAGTTTGATCCTACCCATAAAAAAAAAAAATTAGTGTGTCGTTTCCTGTAACAGCTTTGTTGGAAACATTATTTATTTATTTATTTATTTACTTACGTATTTTTATTTTGGATCTCACTCTGTCACCCAGGCTGGAGTAAGTGGCGTGAACCTTGGCTCACTGCAACCTCCACCTCCTGGGTTAAAGCAATCCTCATGCTTCAGCCTCCTGAGTAGCTGGGATTACATGTGTGAGCGACAACGCCCAGCTAATTTTTGCATTTGTAGTAGAGATGGGGTTTCCCCATGTTGCCCAGGCTGGTCTCAAACTCCTGAGCTCAGACAATCTACCTACCTCAGCCTCCCAAAGTGCTGGGATTACAAGCATGAACTGCTATGCCTGGACAACATATAATTTACATACTATGAAATTCACTTATTTAAAGTGTACAAATATATGTTTTTTTTTAGTATATTTACAGAGTTGTAAAACAATCACCATAATCTAATTTTAGGATATTGTCATCACCCCAAAAAGAACCCTCGTATCCATTATCATTTGATGTCTCTTAGTCTCCTAATATATATGTCTCTCTCTCTCTCTCTTTTTTTGTCTTAGAATTCATCTGCAGAAGGACCCTGGTCTTGCCTAGCACCTATTCTGAAGATGGAGACATTCAGCTCTTGAACTAGGTTGAAGAGAAAGCCCTGTCATGCAAACCAGCCAGGCAGCTTTTGACAGTATATTTAAACTCTTCTTGCCTTTCTTTCCCCCTCTCAAATGGACATCATTATTATTTGCCTTTCCTTACCTTCCTCACAGGATTGCTGAAAGAATTAAATCAAGTAGGAGGTGAGGAAATCAAAGAATACAAGGGTGATGGTAATTGCAGCAGCAATGACGGAATTACATCTTAATATCACGCATCTTGGCCTCTCGCATCCTGAGACTCACACCTAATTTCTGTACGGGATTAATCGCTCCTTCAAAACAGGGGTAAGCAGAATTCTTCCTCATGGTCTACTAATATACTTTCTGAGCCTCACCACTGCCCTGCTTGATGGGTATTACTACCTTTCTGTTGCTGCATAAGGAAGTAGAGGCCAGGACAGGTGTGGGGGTTTGTCCAGGGTTGATCAGCCAGTCATGGCAGAGCTGGAACCAGGCCCAGTTTTCTCTCTTTTTTTTTTTTTTTTTTTGAGATCAAGTCTTCCTCTGTTGCTCAGGCTGGAGTGCAGTGGCACGATCTCGGCTCACTGCAACTTCTGTGTCCAGGGTTCAATCGATTCTTGTGCCTCAGCCACCCAAGAAGCTGGGATTATAGGTGTGCGCCCCCACTCTTGGCTAATTTTTGTATTTTTAGTAGAGACGGCGTTTCACCATGTTGTCCAGGCTGGTCTCGAACTCCTGACCTCAAGTGATCCACCTGCCTTGGCCTCCCAAAGTGCTGGAATTACAGACATGAGCCCCTGTACCTGGCTGGTTTTCTCATCCTGGAGTCGCTCCCCTCATTACTCCCCGATGAGGTTCTATGCTAAGGTCAGGACCTGGCCTTCTGCCTTTGATGGGACACAGCTAGCCCTAAAGTCATAAGATACCCTTTCTTTCTGATTTTGGTGGTTGTCCTTAGTATAGTGGCCTTGAGTTGTCTAAGCAGGGACAGAGCTTCTCTGTTTGTGCCAAGTGACCACTAAGAAGCTATGGATGGCCGGGCATGGTGGCTTATGCCTTTTGGCGGCTGAGGTGGGCGGGTCACCTGAGGTCAGAAGTTTGAGACCAGCCTAGACAACACGGCGAAACACTGTCTTTACTAAAAATACAAAAATTAGCTGGGCGTGGTAGCACACACCTGTAATCCCAGCTATTTGGAGGCTGAGGCAGGAGAATCACTTGAGCCTGGGAGGCAGAGGTTGCAGTGAGCCATGATCATGCCGCTGCACTCCAGCCTGGGTGATTCATCGAGACTCTGTCTCAAAAATAAATAAATAAGACCCAGTGCAGTGGCTCACACCTGTAATCCCAGCACTTTGGGAGGCCAAGGCGGGAGGATCACAAAGTCAGGAGTTCGAGACCAGCCTGGCCAATATGGCGAAACTATGTCTTTACTAAAAATACAAAAATTAGCCAGGTGTAGTGGTGGGTGCCTGTAGTCCCAGCTACTTGGGAGGCTGAGGCAGAAGAATTGCTTGAACCTGGGAGGTAGAGGTTGCGGTGAGCTCAGATTGTGCCACTGCACTCCAGCCTGGGCAACAGAGCAGGACTCCGTCTGAATGAATAAATAAATAAATAAACAAATAAAAAGAAGCTATGGGCCCTCACTTTCTGCATCAAGGAGCTCTTATCTTCTCACCCAGAGTTAACTTTGATGTTTGCCTTTTGTGCCGAGATTCAGAGTTTGGAGTGTGGGATTTTAGCCTCTTGAGGTTTTTGGTTATTGTCCTCTCAGACGGTGTTTATCGCAATGAGGCCTCTGCGAGTGTGGGTTTTATCTTCCAGTCACATGATGTCCCCACGCTGGAGCCAGGGCACTAGAATCAGAACGATAGGAAAGACAGGAAGGCTATCACTTTTGACTCCCTTGCTTTTGGCTTGCACTTTGTGTCAGTGTATCTCTTCCAGGACACTGTAGAACATAGTGTCCTTCCCTCAAACCAAACATAAAATCTCCAAAGGAGAATAACTAAAGCTGAAATGCCAGAGGAGGAAGGACCTCTCACTGGGGTCTGCACTGTGGGGGTGAGGAAATATCTGCCCAAGGACCAAGCCAGAAAGACTTTCCTTGGGGACTGTCTTAGTCCATTTGGGCTGCTATAACAGACCCCATAGACTGGGTGGCTTACAAAAAATCAGAAATTCATTTCTCAGCTGGGCACAGTGGCTCACACCTGCAATCCCAGCACTTTGGGAGGTCAAAACAGGAGGATCACTTGAGTCCAGGAGTTCGAGACCAGCCTGGACAACATAATGAGACCTCCATCTCCACAAAAGCATTATATGTTAGCTGATGATGATGGCATGTGCCTATAGTCCCAGCTACTCTGGAGGCTGAGGCTGGAGGACTGCATGGGCCCAGGAGGTCAAGGCCATAGTGAGCTGTGATCATGCCACTGCA